CTTGCTAATACAGTAAAAACACTTTACAATACTTGTTAAAGCAATAACAACGCTTTACTACTTGTTAACACAATTAAACTTGTAGCTTGCTTATTCGCAACTCAATTCTCCGCTCACTTTACTTGTAGCTTGCTGACTTGTAACTCTCTCAACTCCGCTGTGTCGTGGCTCTTATATACCTGCGCTCACACTTATGGCAACTCTAGAACGTTCTGAAGTTTATCGCTCATTCTCTTTCTCTCGCTGTTCGCAGTGTTCATCCAACTTGACGTTTCTCTTTGTGGAACATTCTACGTCATTCCTCGAACATTCTGCCTATTTCTCGTTGTTCGCTTTGTGTTGCCGCAGTATTCGCCACAGTATTTACAAAAATAGCTACATCATTGCAATCACCACCGCAACCAAAATACATAAACCTAACCACACCTCGGAAGGTTGTCACATTCCGTAAAATTTACTCGTAAAATAAACAATGCAACGAAAACCTGCAGTGATGTGCATGTGTGCATTCATAACTACTACGAGTAGTAAGCAATACAGATTCATTTCATATGCATGAAAGCCGCAGATGAACTTTCTAATTAAGTACATATGTATACATAGCATTGTTGCTGATAGCAAGTGGATATGTACATATTTTGCCACGTGGAGGAGGAAGTAATTTTTATGGATGCTGTGGATATAATGTTATTCTTTCCTGCGAATATAGTATGGCACATTTTCTTCCATGACCAATATTGTTGGTTTCACTTTCATAAAAATATTTACTTTTATACAGGCATACAAATATATGTATTTCCTTACGCTTCCTAAAATAAAACATTTGCTTTGAGGAGCCAAGCCCTTAATGTTCTGTGAGGTCCTCGTAAAAATGTCTCGAAAAGACTTTGTCTTTGTCGTACATGCGAATAAACTTGGAAGCTCCGACTTCGTTCCTGACAACAACAAAGACTACGGGCTACGGCTTTCTCCAACACAACTTAACTTATTTTAGCCATTTTTAGGACTTAGTCAAGAATAAGCTGATTAAAACGTAGGCTAACTCTTGGCTCAGCCTAGATGGTGAAAATTATAGGTCCAAGACATGGCTAAACTAAGTTAAGTTGAGTTGGAGAAACCAGCCCTAAATGTTTATATGTATTATCTCACAAATGCTATATTTAAGTATACACACCAGTGAAATTTATCAAAGACAGAGGTAGCCTGATAAAAGACTCGAAAGAGCTGTAGAAAGTTTCACTCGGCGGTAGTAATCATTAAGAAAGCAGCTGATTGGATACTAAACTGCTATAGAAGAAGTATGTATGTAAGTATAAGGATATCAGATCACAGATAACTACATCCATATATATCTCTGGAATTTGAATCACTTGAAATATTACTCTATAAGCGGTCAGTCAGGAAAACCTTTTTACAAACTTTTATTTAACTTAAGTTGTATATGCATATGCCCTGGAACCGCAATATTCCATTAATATTTCATCCACTTCCACTGCAGCCTTCGGGCTGAAATTTGGCACACACATTTGGTTATCAAGGCAATGCAATGTAAAATAACTGAAGCGAATTAATCCGCTAGGTGGCGCTGGAGTTCACATATTTGAATACCCCGCAATTACGATCTGATTTCATTCATCTTTGAAATGTACATTACTTACATAAATAGAAATAATTCCAAGAAAAAATTGTCCGGTAGTTGGCGCGCTATGGTCTGATTTAGTTCATGTTCAAAATACATATCTGCTACTTATGTACCTGAATTGAAATCGATTGAAAACTTCCATCTGAGGAAAACTCTAACTAAAAAGTTCAAAATAAAATAATAATAGAAGATCCGAATAGGACACGACTAGGGTTTTCGATTATTCGCCTTTTTCCAAAACTAGTTTTCGAGTTATTCGAAAAATTGCAATTTGAAAAAACAAACGGTTCCCGATTGTGAAATTAAGAATATTTACTTAGTTTTCGTACAGTGAAAATGTTAAAAAAAGGTAGCTTTTATTTAGAAAAAAGAGAAAAGCAAAATAAGTTCAAAGTTTTTTTAGATCAAAAGCTCTTGCCGCCGTAGCCAAATGCTTAGATCTGCCTATCGCCACTCAGCTCCATTTCTAGTCCCAGCAAAATCGAATAAATTTTTTTAAATGGCGTTCGCCCCTCGGCAGGCAATGGCAAACCTACGAGTGTACATATGTCATAAAAAAAAAACTTCTTTGGTTTTCAATTTGTGTCACAATATCAAGAACCAGAACCCGAGTTGGAGGAAAAGATCGGCCAAACACGTAGAAAAAGTTTCGGCGCCAAAAAATCATTTAATGCAATTAAATATGATATGTTTATCACCAAATAACCTAGGACATAATTTTAAAATTATTTATGAGTTTTCCTTAAAATGAAAAAAGCCTTGAAAACTTCGAAAAAACTGAAAACTTTTACTGAAAGTTTAAGCTTTGTATGAAATGAAAAAATCGGTTTGCTCATTAAAAAAAAAAATCCGCTTTATTCGAAATTCGAAAAATCAGTATTTCAAAAAAAACAACAGTGAACCGAAAAACCGGTAAAACCGGTTTGGAAAAGTCGAGTTAATCACCTTAGCCACGATCTTCACCCATCTGTTTAGTGGATGAAATCTATTTTGTATGACATTTAACGTATTAGTAAATATTTCGCGAGTGGATTGGCTTAACACTTTCGATTAGTATATAATTTGCTCATTAAACAAATGAGTGCAAAATTAAAAAAAAAATAATAATAATTTTTGAATATTTAATTAAAATATCCTGGCCAGGATATTTTCAGCCAAACCACTCGTAAAATATTTAGTAATACGTTAAAGGTCATACCAAATAGATTTCATCTATTAAAAAGCTGGGTGAAGGTCGTGCCCTTTTCGGATCTTGGACTATAAAGTAAGAAAATGTGTTTTAGCATATGCACTAAAATAAAAAAAAAAATTAAATAAGTTAAACCTTTGTTAAGGTTAATAACAGCTTAATGGTAAGTGTGTTAATTTCCATTAGAGAGGTGTACCTAAATATGTTAATTTCAGTATTTCCATTCCCCATTTATGTTTTATTAACCCTAACAAAAGCTTTGACTTATTTTATTTATTTTAGTGCACATGCTAATTAAAAATTTGTCTTAAAATTGTTCTACATTATTTTATTCCTTCTTTTTGCTACTCTGAACATCAAATATGGTACTCGTCAGAATCTTCCACATGAATGGACCAAACAAAAGATCCGAATGTAATCCTTTTGGGAATATTTTGGAAAATTATTTCTCTTGCATATTCTTCTTCTCATTTGGCGCTGTAACCGTCTGAGCGATTTTGGCCGAGTTCAACAAAACAGGCAGATTAAGCTATATAACTACTAGTATATTTTCGCTTCACCTTGAAGAAAAATTTCGCTTGGGCAAATGGGCCTGATATCAGCTGAACGAAGGCTTGCCAGTACTTAAGAACCTCAAGAACTTACTGACTTAAAGCGTACCGCAGGTCAGGGGAGATTATTACTAGGCTCTAAAGGTGGTGGTTCTAGACCTTGCTGGCACAGTTCAAATATACACTCGAAGAAATCAATACCACTCCGTCGCATCTCCCTGAACGAGTATGAAGCGGAATAACCGAAATAGTCACAACTTCGCTGTCCGGTTTTTTATTTATTATTATTCAAACATTACACTATTAAAATTTGAAACAAAATACAAATTTCGATATTTTCTTTTTAAAACGCTCTTCTAATTGAAGCGTCACCACGAAAATTCGCCTAACATAGACACCACACTTTTTCCACTTCACTTCGTTGTATGAGAATCAAACATAACTTTTTAATTAACTGATTTAACTGAAAACTTTTTTCAACCAAAAACACACACAAATAAGCTCGCAATAACCAAAAAAAAAAAAGTAAACAAAAATAAAACAAAGTAGCCGTACTGCTACAGTTTTGGGAATTTGCAGCAACTCTCTTCCACTGGCTGCACTTTAGTGGCTACAGCAAAGGCCAATCTGTGTATGTATGTACATATGTATGTATCTGTAAATTTACGATTTGCATGCATATATGAATCTAATCCGTCTGTGTTTTCGCATAAGTACAGTGCTAACTATGCTTTTGCCCAAGGTTTCTGTGGTTACTTTGGAGGTTGCAGGGCGAAAAACCCGAATGCCTTCATACAAACACAGTGACACATACTGGACAGTGAGCGTAGGTAGCCAACAAAATCATCACAACAAAGAGCAAGTGTATGTGTAAACTGTAGCGAAATGCGAAAAAGTGTGAGAAGTAAAGACTAGGAAAAACAAGCTCTGCTTAAATGCTAATAATTTAATTTGCATTTTTGTAGCGACTTTTAATTGGTGCTAATGTTCTTACAAGCAAATGTATGCAGACAGACATATGTACGACGGCACACATACATATGCGTATTTATGTAAATATCCACTTGACATTCGCTTACACCTTACATGAGACCCTATCGTAGTTAAATGCTAATTCACAGCTTCTAATTGCTGTAGATCTAATAAAGCTTGCATAAGCCAGCAAGTTTGTATAGCACTGCAGAGCTTTTGCTTTTTTTTCAAGCAGTTCATTTTCATGAATTTTATAAATATTTTCAAATATTTTTTTACTCCATTATTGAGGGAAGTTTTAATTTCTATACTTTTAATCTAAACGCTTATACATTTTTTGTTTCCTTTCAGGTGGCAAATATACATCGAATGTTACAGAAATTGGCGAATATCGCAGCTCAATGAAATTGCACATAAATCCCTTGACGCAAGCTGAATTTGGCGCATATCGTTGTGTGGCAAAAAATTCATTGGGCGACACTGATGGCACCATAAAGTTATATCGTAAGTTAATTGAAGCAATTAATTCATTCATAACCAGTTAAAGTGGTACCTTATGAAAATTTATTACTTCGACAATTTTTAATTTTTACTGTTGATTTTTATGAACTTAATGGCTTTTACAAGCCGTGCTAGTGAACCTCTGTTTCCAGCATTATGTTATCATCTATGGATGCAGAAAAACTTAAGACGAAAAAAGATTGCATGCATATTTAATTTTTTTTTTTTTTCAAAAATTAGGGAGTTCATTTCATTTGAATGCAGTGATGGAGTGGCATCTAATTATATTTATTTCAAATCAATTGACACTTTCGCGTTCCGATTCTGCCACACATACTTACAAAAAAAATTTTCTATGAAAAAAAAAATTAAAAAAAAAAAATTCTTCAAAAATTTTTCATATACCAATTCTTTGTTAAAAAAAATTGTTTTTGAAAATATGCAATCTCAAAAAAAAATTACAATGGTAGCTCTGAGTATTGCGCAATATTTAAGTATATAATTAGGGGTTGCGCTCTACAATAATTTGAGTTATGAATTTTTTTACATCGAAGTTGAGTAAAATGGGTACAATTTTAAATTTGTTTTTAGAATTTTTTCGAGTATGCAGTCTCGTTGCCTATTAAATTTTACTATAATTAAGTGCAAGTTCTAAGTCACTGCCAAATTGCGTTGATTTTGAAAATTTTTTATGCTGACGGCTTTTGAACTTTTTTCTTATGGAAGAAAATGCGCAAAATCGTTTTCAAAGAAAATTAAAAATAATTAACGCCAGTCTTGCCATCGCTTAAAACTTGTGTTTTTGAACTTTTTTTGTTTTTGTGCTGTAAAGTTTTTAAAAATGTATTAATCATGCTCAAATGTCATGTTTATTTATTATTTATGTTTATGCATAAACCCTAAAAATTTTAAACAAATCAAGCACATGAAGTGTGAACCCCGTCCGTTTTGGTACGGAACGCCCCATATACTAATTCAGTTACAATGACAATCACTTCTATTAAAGCAAGAAATTTTTACTTTTAAATTTAAAATTGCACTCCAGGGTTAATCAGCTTTTAGTACATACCTGTATTCAAAGTTTCAACAAATCGTCTTTTATGCTAAATTAAAACAAAACTTAACCGCGTTTGTATTCAAGATCAAATCAGCTTAAAAATAATCCGCGAATTTGTGGCAATGAATGCGACCCCAAGACTGAATAACTTGCGCTGGCTGAACCATTCATACCATCTGAATTTCGGCTTAAAATTTACTATAGAAAAAAATATTTAACTGCTTCGCTGGAATCAAATACGTAGACACCTGCACTTGGACGTAATTGAATTTAAATATTTTCTACCCCGACTGCCTATGGACGTAGATGACGACGACAAGCAGCGGCAGGCGAATGCATTTTAATGAACTTCATTCACTCATTGCCTCAGGTTGAGAAAATTGCTGGCGTAAATTTTTGCATACATTTTAATTTTTCCATGTATTTTTTCTTTCACCTTTTTGTTTGCATAATTTTTATGATTCATTGTGTAAGCGCACACCTGCCGCGATTTTTTCCTAATCCACAAATTTTTCCTTCTTTGCAATTATTTTCGCAGGAATACCACCGAATGCTGTGAATTATGTGGAGAATATCGAAGGACGTTACAAAGGTGAGTATCACCGTTGACCAACGGCTGCCAATAGTGGTATGTATGGGAGTTATTGCAATTGCAAATGTGTATGGGTGTCTGTGTGTATGGTATACGCAGGGATAATACAGACTACACACACTCACCGCAAGCCTATGCAAATGCAAATCGACATACTTCAATGTCGTTTCCTTCTATAGTAGACTCAATGCAGCGCCGCAATGTTGTTGTGGGAGTAATAGCCACTCGGCATAAATTTTTTCCTACATTATTTTGTTCTGCTTTTCTCTTTGAATATGAATGTTGGCATAAACGCCAGATGCAAAGGTTGGTGTACTCGCATTTGAATTTGGTGGCAATGCCACCACGCAAATGCCGACGCCATAGCGCAAGCCCTTTTAGTTCGCGTCATCTTTTGTGACAGAGCATAGACTTTTTCATTGCCTTGAAAACTGCTAGGCAAATAAATTATTTATTTTTGGTTTCAAACAAATCCTCGGGCGTACAAATTTAATCGCCACCAGGCAGCCGTGCCGGCAACCAACGATTCAGTTGTCAATGTTGAGTAAATATGATTAAAGGTCAGAAGGTGAATAAAGTTTGAAGTGAAATATAGTAGTTGGAACAAGAGTACAGTGTGTCTTAGTTAAGAAAAAATCTGCTTAGTTAACAAAAAATTAAACTAAATTAAGATGAAGATGAAGATGAAGATGAAGATGAAGATGAAGATGAAGATGAAGATGAAGATGAAGATGAAGATGAAGATGAAGATGAAGATGAAGATGAAGATGAAGATGAAGATGAAGATGAAGATGAAGATGAAGATG